ATGACCATCTTTCCATGTAAACAAAATTCCTTACATAACCCAAAATAAGATAACTGTTTGAAATATACACGTGAACGTGTATTTATAGTCATCGACCTCGCTTCTGTGTTTTACCGCTAGGGACAAATCACTTTTTGGGAAGAAAAGTACTTGCCAAAACAAAAGATCAATCTTCAGAAACAATACCAAACAATCCAACAAACAAAGAAACTCGTTCCTTCTCCGTACAAATTATGAAACGTCGTCAGAGTCAAAAGCACAAGTGCTCGACAACCATTGAGCAATATCGGCATAACTATAGTCCCAATAGGGATTATCGATTGATCCACGGACAAATTGATAGTATTGCTATATCTATTTCGAAAGCATATTGTTATGCGTGGGTGCTTGGCGAAAGCGTCTTTGTCTACACCTATGTAAAAATGTATTCATTTATGAGTTGATAGACAATAGTTATTAAATTGTTGATTGAATAGGTACGGAGCCCCTTAACCTATGGAGAGACGTTGGCTCTCTGTGTGTATTCTACCGTCTTTATAATGAGGAGTGCTCTGAGGAATGTTTCCAACTGGTGCCACCGTCTCGTTTCCACCATCGTATCTCCCGCCAAATGAGTAGAGTCCATCCCCACATCTTAGATGCCTAGCATTGTAAGACCACGCGGGCATCTCGTTCGTTCCTTTCTCGATCGAAGATGTGGAATGATCTTCCTCTTGAAGTACTTCCTTTGCGCTATGACATGGGGTTCTTCAAAAAGTTTGTTTACAGTACTTTATTTGGGTACTGCTTTTGCAAATGTCCATGGGCGACGATGACAACCTCCCATCAAGTGGCTCGTCTGCTAGTTTACCTCCTTCTTTACATAAAAAAAATTGACATAGGCCGGAGGAATGTGTGGATATTTCATAATGTCTTGACAGCTTACGTTTATATTATTATACAAGATATATGTATCTACCTAAGTATTGAATACTCACCGATTAGGTACAGTCAACAGCGCGCAAAGGGTTAACTGTCGACTGTTGTTATCATAAGTGGTATATGATAGTGTTGATTTTAAATCCTTAATTGAAATTTGAGTATTATCGTAAGAGACTAGTATAGGTTTCTATTTATACACGACTTTTCTGATTGTCTGCATGAACAGGTAGAATCACCGACAGAAACTAATGAAAGTCGAGACTTAGGGTCGTATTCCAGAACTCTACTCAATGCTCAAGTCAGGACTTGAGCAGACTTGAGTATGATTTCAAGAACTGGAAATACGACCCTAATGGCAAAGACTTGAGTATGATTTTCAGTGCTCACTGCAATACTCAAGTCCTGACTTGAGCATTGAATAGAGTTCGGAAACGACCCTTAGGTTCCAATTCGAGTACTTAGGTTTTCGCGATTGTTACACATAGAAAATGAAACTATTTTTTCGGATCTAAATGACGTATATTTATTATGATTATTCATACAAAGATCGAATACATAGAAAAACATTTTCATCATCCATGGTCATCAACCACTTTTGTCTAATATTAAAGCAAACCACCCTATTTTTCGTTATAATTACAAAATGTATTTATTAAATTTACAAAGAACTTTTTATTTACGATACATAACGTTTTACAAATTAGTTTTCTATTGTTTTAACAATATACATTTTTATTAAATTAAACGTTTGTTTGAAAAAATTAACAAATATGTATAAATACATGATTTGGATCCAAAAAAATAGTTTGATATTTCCCACTAGGTTACTTTTTTTCAACAAAGTATTTTGAACAATTGCATTCCTATTTGACATTATGGCGCTCCGTACATTGACTTACAATTATATGGACGTCGGGTCCGCGCTAAAAAGTGTCCGAACTTACAGGGCGTTAAAATCGTATACAGAGCGTCATTCACGCTCTAGTCTTCGTTTGTTCGACTGACAGCGAAGCAAGCAAAATTAGACAGTACTACAGTACTACAACAGTAGATGACATTACAATTTAAATTCAACGTTTTAGCTTTTTCATATTCCTTGACATGTCACTACATTTAAATAGGTTGACTTGGGACATTTTTTTCGTGGTTTTTGTATTAGACCCGTCGTCCATTTATTTGTAAGTCAATGGCTCCGTAACACTATAAATACTGTCTATTTTACCATTCTCATTTGTATAATTAATCGAAAATGCATTTGACAAAAAGTTATAATTTACAGTATAATTTATAATGTAATGAGCTACGATATCTATGTACTAGTTAGTAATGAGCCTTATTTTGTCAGATGTGTATGCTCAGTTGTATTACGTGTGATTGACATCGTAAAACTAAATGCGGCATTGATTGAGAAGTTGTTTAACTACCGTCATATTAGATTGACGTGTTTTGATTGACAATTGAACATAAATGGTTCAGTGGTTTCCGCATAGCATTCTTCAGGGTGCAGTCCGAACATAGATTTCGTCATCGAAATAACAGATAATAAAAAGCACATTTCAGGTCGTTTCACGAGTAGCTAAATGATAGTTACATGGGCGATGAAATTTTGAGATTCTGATAAATTTTCTTTTTATTACAAAAATCAGTATGACAATTTACTGACAATATTACAGCACGATAGGCCACGTCTAAAGGTAAACATTATTTCAAAATACTTCGTTGAAAATTGTAACTTGGGTCATTTACATGGTGTTAAAATGTCTATACTTAAACAAAAACTTTCATAGATTTCTCACAGATACGGCGATACGGCAAAAAAACAAAGCACAAGAAGCAGGTAAAAAGAATTCGTAAAGTATGCTGGTTCGTTCCGTAGTTTTGGAAGAGTGTCAGGGACGACTTGCTGAAGACGCAGGTTCGATCCCGCCGGAGCACAGGCTTTTCTTGGTGTTCGATCTTTGTTTAATGATTATAACAAACTAGTAGAGTAGTTTCACAAATAAATAATTGACTGTCATGGTAGTAAAACATTGTAATATTCAATAAACTTATTTCTATAACTGAACCCATTAGCTCACTGAGACAAATCAGACTTGAAGATATAATTCATTATTTCGCACATAAAATCAATATATATGTACGGTAGTACATAGATAACGTTTGTTTATAATGCACAAGTAAAGTACATTATCAATACATTACAATCTAGTCAAATACCAGACTAATAAGTAATTTACATTTCACTTATGTAATCTAATAAATAAAAAAATATTCGTTTATAAGTGGACAATTAAGTATCATGTATAAATAAAAATAATCACATTATTCGCTATAAGGCTTTAAGGCTGAGGCTTACCCATTTCTGCCGCCAAGTCCAAGCCAATGTCAGCATTACTGTGTTCCGGTTTTAAAGCGTAAGGGTGCTGTTAAATTTACAGGCACATGAGACTTGTCAAGTTACGTGTCAGGGTGACGGGCGCAGTGGCTTTATTTCTTAGATTTTTGCCATTCAAAGATAATGGAATGAAACTGAATCTTTTAGAAATATGACAGTGTGGAATAAAAAGAAAGGGAACACGCTTCAGTGAAACCATATAATGAACAATTGTAATTAGGCAGTTACCAAAGAGACTAAGAGTCGTATTCTAGAACTCTACTCAATGCTCAAGTCAGGATTTGAGTATGGTTTAAAGCACTCGAAATCATACTCAAGTCCCTGCCATTAGGGTCGTATTTCCAGTGCTTGTGTTTCCAGTGCAATCCTGACTTGAGCATTGAGTGGAGTTCTAGAATACGACCCTAAGACAAAAATCATTCCTTCAATTGCAACACTGAACAACGAAATTACTTGAAAATAATTGTACGCTGTGACCGCAAGTAAAATGCTTTACTCCTTCTGCTTTAAGAAAGTTACTCTTAACGTTCTCTGAGTGGCACTGCAACTGTTATGGACAAGGCGTGTGGCTTACCATCAGGCGCACGACTTGTTCGTCCCGTCACTTGATATTATATTAAAATAAATAAGGTCCATTCAGTATTTGTTTTTTTTAAATTTTCAAATTGTTTTTCTTAATTTCACAATTTTGAGTTACGACGGCATTTGGTGTCATGTGCGACTTCATTCTTTATCCCCAGCCGAACTAGTATTGGGACATAACTCGTTTAGTATATATGAATAATACCAATAATGAAAGTGAGAGACTACTATCCTGATGTCAATCATACATTTCTATAGGTCACGCGCGACGCCACACATAGCCGGCTGGGTGAATATAATTATATTCAAAGTGACACGTCTAAAGCAATGTATGTAGATAATTTTCGGATGTGATCTGTAGTCCAATTATACAGAACCGTTGACTTTATTAAACTATTTTTGCGCCCTCTTAAATGATTTCTAAAGTTTTACATCCATTAAAATCGACGCTTAACAATTTAAGGCTCAATTCACACAGGCGTAGAGTCGAAGCGTCGCGACGCGTTACGTTTTTCGCCTGTAGCATATTCATCTCTATTTTCCCATTATTATTATATTATTATTATATTATATTAGAATCGTGCGACTTGGTTAAAGTCGAGTGGTTGCGCGCGTCGCCGTGCGTACCTTGCGCATAGTAAGACGTCAGACGCCGACCACACTGTGATCTGGGCGCGCTAATGCGACGAGACCCTTCGACTCTGCGCCAGTGTGAGTTGAGTCTAAGGCTGAGATTTATATGAGATTAGACAAAACAAAATGGCGAGCAAGCAAGTTTTTGGTATGCCAAAAAGGATTTACGATATGAAAAAGTTCGAGAAAGTACCAATGGATGATAGTAGAATAACGACATAAATTTATAGAAGGAGGTGTATTTGAACCAGTCATACGATACCTACAGAGATTGCAAGTCAAGAGTACAAAAAATAGCGAGGAGTCTCTGATGGAGCACATTTGTAGCAGTAGAGATCCTTCGGAAAGAGGGCGGTTAGGGAACCTTGCCTTACCTATTTTTGAAGCCAAGCGTTGAGCATTATATGTTGCAGGTGACTTTACAGGCACTTGGGACTTGAAAAGTCCTTTCCTTGGCAGTGCCCTTCACATCTTTACGATATAAAGCTCTGAGCGACACTGGAACTGTTATGTACAGACCTGTCGCTTACCGCCAGGAACACAACTTGTTTGTCCCGTCACTTGGTATTATAATAATTGTAATTTTTTTATTTTAAAAAAACCGACTTCGAAAGTTCATGAAATTACATCTACACACATCAAAAAAAGTCTAGGGATCAAGTGAATATTTTTGAAATAAAAATTATTTAAGCAATATTTACCAAATCCAGTCTTCCAGGACGACTTCTTACTTTAATGCTTATGTTTTATTTAACCGCTTACCCCTATATTTAATTAAAATAAACTAAAATTGATGTTTTTGCAAATTGTGGGAAAAAACTCAAATTAACGGCGTCAATTAAATGACAAAAAAAATGGCGAAAATGATGATTTTGCTCATTTTTATTGTAAAGATAAGAAAATTAATAATCTGTATTTCCACCATTAACACGAATCACATAATTACAGACCCTACCCTTAGATGTGGAATATTTTCTTCAAATTGAAATGTGACCAATACTGAGGTACCCTCTTTACAACAAAAAAGAATCATCGAAATCATTTAACAAATGCAGAAGTAATCGCGTGGCATATATACAAAAACAATTTAGCCGAATCGAGAACCTCCTTTTTTTCAACCTTTAGAATAAGATGCATCTTACCACTGTTCGGACACGTGTGTCAACCCACAACCTATACGAAACCACGTTTAACCTTTCGTTAAATAACGGCCGCCGTACTTTTCTACATCGAGGGAATAAAAAGGGCATAACTTTTCAAACTCTCTCGTTTTCAAAAATGTAACTAATCGGTCACAACGGTAAATATTTGCCAACAACAGGATTCAATTATAGCTCTTCCTGTAAAAGCCACTTTCACTGCTCCGTCGTGTTAGCACCCGCTCTCAAATTGACTAATAACAATAAAATACTGTTACATTGTTTTTGGTGCTCTGTAAAAACAGGATATACAACACTTTGATGTATACCGCCGATCGACTTTCGAAGCCTTATAGACACTTCCAATTTTAAAACAAATAATCTATCTAACCATAATAATATATTATATAACAAATTAATATTTATTTCGAAGCCAGTTTTGACTCGTGAGTTCCAGTCGTAAAAAAAGATCATTAATTAAATAATTATGTTCTAACGAACATAAAATGTTCAGTTTAGACATCGCACATTTATTTTCTAAAGCTTGACAAATTATATTTGTCAATCTTGTGCAATTAGGGGACTAATTTATTAATAGAAAGAGAAATTCCTTCGATTCGGTTGGATACGAACCGAATCATAGGTTCGTTCCGTAGCACACTTGGGATAGCGTCAGACACGGTATACTGAAGGCGCTGGTTCGAATCCAGCCAGATAGAAGGATTTTTTTTAGTGTTCCAATCTTTGTGTTGATAATTATAACAAATCAGTGGCGTCATTTTCCAAAACAAAATGTAGTAAAACATTGGTATATTAATATTAGGTTATAATTAAAACGTTAAACACACAAACAGAACCACTAATTTCAACTGACTACACAAACTGATGTCAGTGGTTGCAATTTGCTCACCATCCGTAGAACAAAGACCTATGTGCAAAACAGTCAGGACATTGTACATTTCGTTCGCTTCTTAGCTGTGGATATCAGATCGACTGTTGTTCGATTTTATATTTCCGAAATGAAATACGATATAAAAATTCTGAAAACACCTATAGACAGATCCTATTTTGAGTAACGAGATTATGTATTTATCTTATTTTCGCTATATAATCATATCGGACTCTGTTCGTCGGACGAGTCGATTTCGGGTCTACAAGTTACCTGTTAGCGCTCAGTTTGTGAAATGTATTTGGGAATTTTGATGATATTATTTATTTCCCTAATATTTCTTTATCGTAAGTGCATCGGAATATTTCATAATTCGGAATATTTGTACGCAGAGTCATAGACCTACTTGACATATTTCTTTTATTACTTGTTTGCTTTTTATTTTTATTTTGTCTGCGTATAAACTGAAGTATTTAGGTTATAGATTTTTATTTCTAGTCGACTCCTTGAAATTCCTTCATTTTACAAAATTACCTCTAACCGAAAAGTGTTTTCATGTTCCAGGACAGTATGTCAGAGCTTCGCGAGCTCTGCTACCCCGGTACGGACGTCATAATGTTGTGCTTCTCTGTGGTGCGACCGGAAACATTTCGATCGGCTGCCGAACGGTGGACCAAAGCTGTGGCGAAGATCAACGCTCCCCTTATCCTCGTCGGCACGCAGAGTGATTTGGCGCTTGATCCTCGAGTGTTGCAAACGCTAAGAGTAAGTTATTTTACTTATCCTGCACCTCATCATTCATGACAGTGACTTGTGGTTACTTGTCTGCACTGAAGTCTTTTTATGCGTAAGTTGATGAGGATGCTTTAAAATTAGAGTTAAACAGGACCATGGAGTATACAACCAGAAATAGAGACGAAATGTCATTTAATTTGTTTGAAAATTATTCTGCCATATCATAACTGTGACAACTGCGCTCCGATTGGCCAGCCCGAGTTCGAAACAATAGACGGATGTCGTCAATGGGTGTCGTCAACTGTTTCATTTCAAAAAGAAATGAAACATTTGACGACACCCATTGATATACTGGACAAAAATTGCAAAATTACATATTTAATATTTAATTACCGATGAAATGTGATTCCGTTTGTTTTGGAATTAGATGTTTTGCTGTTTTTCCCACACCACCGAATAGAACAGCACGGCATTGTTAGAGATATTATCTTTACAATAAATACAGAATATTTTTTGAAATATACGGAGACGTACACACAGGTCAGTAGTTGGCCTGTCTATGTTTCAGTGCAAACGGTAGTTGACATTTAAGAGAGCTGTATCGCTAATGTGTTACCAGGAATATATGGCCCTTATTTCGTCTCTATTTCTGTATACTTACTCAATGAACAGGACGCATAATCGCTAGATCTGAAGAACGAAGTGTCGAGAAACAGTTCATTCACGAGTTTTGACTGCGCGCGCACTCGTGGTTTAAAAATTTCGAACTAATACGGCAGATTATTAAAGTAAAAAAATAAAAACGAAAAAAATCAAATAACTTTCTAACGAATGAACTTACAGCGTTGCTGATAACTTTAAAATGTGTGTTATTTATGTTTTTTTAAATTTAGGTCAAAAAACAAAATTAGGGTTTATAACACACACTGAGCTGCTTGTAATCAATTCATTAACAATAGACAACAGTCACGCCAATCGTGAAGGCTTTTTCTTCAACGGCAATTAAATACCTGTCAGAATATAACTTATCTTTGTCTCTAAAGGCGTATCGTTTACCACCAGGCGCAAGCCGTGTTAGTCCCGTCACTTGTCCAAAAAAAATAATTGTGGTCGCTTCTACAAAATATGTATGCCGTAAAACGTTATAGATAAATTATAATTTTATACTTTTCAGAGCCGTGGCGAACACCCAGTAACAGAAACAGAAGCGACAGCCCTTGCAAGTAAGATAAACGCGGTGTATGTAGAAACGTCGTCCAAAACAAGAAAACAACTGAAGGACGCGTTCGACGCCGCTATTCTCGCTGGCCTACCAGTCATACAGAACAAGAAATCATTATGGAAAAAACTGTTTTGTATTAGTTAGGATTTTGATATGAAAACTTAACTTAGCTTTAAAACAGCTTCAATGGACTCAAGGAATTGAGTGATAGCGACGTCACAAAAGTAGCTGTAGGTCTGTCATAGATTTGTGATGCAAATATCGGACAGGACTACCGAAATCTACTTCGGAAGGGTTGTATTACATTCTGACAGACAAACCCACCCTAAGTAATTGACCTCTATATAGTAGCGCATGAGATTGCAATCTGATTTCGTAAGTGGTTTGACCATTGTTTAGGTACAATATAAGAAAATATTTTTCGGAAAGTTGGCACGTATTCTGAAAAATTTCTTTTTTGTAATGAATTTATAATAATGATGTATTACGTCTTTTTTTAAGAATTCCTGTGGTTCTATTGATGGTTATTTATTAAAATTTAAAAATACTACTTTTTCACCTCACTAGCTCGGAAAGAATTTCTTTCTCATTACAAATCTGCGCGCAAAAATGTTTTTTTTACGCTAGCGTGGAAAAGGTTTTTGAAATTCGAACTTGACGATGGACTGTGGTGCACCTATTTCTTTCGATGAAAAAAAGTAATGACACATTCAACTACGCGATTTGTCGTACATTACTAAAATTTATGCATTGACTTACAATTATATGGACGTCGGGTCCGCGCTAAAAAGTGTCCGCACTTGTAAGGCGCTAAAATCGTATACAGAGCGCGACACTCCGCTTTAGTCTTCATTTGTTCTACTGACAGCGCGATACTGCGATGACATTACGATTTAAATTTCGAATAGGTTGACTTGGGACATTTTTTTCGTGGTTTTTGTATTAGACCCGTCGTCCATTTATTTGTAAGTCAATGAATTTATGTAATATAAATCCGTTGGTATATTTCATTCTTATTATTGTCGACATTAAATTAACAGCGATAACTAATCTCACACACACATAGTTCAACTGTTCTTTCATCTACCATTTTTCTCGTTATAGTGAGGTGAATAGTGGTGTGTTTCACTCGGCAGCAAAGTTGTTTTGCGTCTCGTGACTTGAAACCCTCGCTACGCTCAGGATTCTATTTTTGAGCCACGAGTGAAGCGAGTACACCTTCGCTTGCTCATGTTTCAATACAAGCACTTACCACAAACAACAACTTTGCAGCCTTGAATAACAAATAACTATTCCGGAGCTACTGGAAGCCGTGTACATACAGGCTGAAGAAATATTATATATTCAGACATTTCAAATGTATAAATCTCCCGCCCAATGTGATATACTTCACAACACGTGCCTCATGGTTTGAACGATGATTTTTATTACCTATAAGTGTGGAAAGGAATATTTTGCGATGGAGAGAGTTACGATGGTAACACTAGCAGTTCAAATAGAAAATAAATATTTTGTTGAACCTAAATAATTACGTGAAGTTATCGAAAAGTTACTTATTCTAATATTGTAAGTGTATTTTTGAATTTGTACAGTTACTAATAGTTATTACATAGTCGTTTAATGGTACGCACAGTCACGCATTATAGTATACAAATTTATGTAGCTATGCTTCCCCAGTATTATAAAAACACTGACACAAGAACGATTACCATATTCAATCTTACATCGCCTGTTTAAAGGTAAAACCACGTAAGTGATATTTTCCACAAAAAGTCTTTATTTAGCTGTAGCTATGCTATGGTAAGAAAATCACTATCTTTCTGCAACTCAATAACAAAAAGCTATAAACTTAATAAGAGTTTTATCTGCAGAAAGATGGCGAATTTCTGACAACTGCTATATAATTTGGAGATTTTTCGTGGAAAATGTCATTATGTGGTTTTACCTTTAAGCAAACGATATGCAGTTTTTAAAACTGGGACACTGTATACATTGGCTTTTGACTGTGCGTACAGTTATCGTAAACTAAATGTATGTATATAAGGTGTCTGCGTATATTAATATACTGTTTTGATACTCAACATGAACTGATAATTATATTTTATTACAACAATAACTGAGTATTCTTACTGACCTATTTACCTTCTTAAATAGTAAAATTATGAAATAATAACTCTTTGCTGCAATGCCCCAGAACCCAATCTTGATACGTAAATGGGTGGATATAAAAATCTTACAATGGTCTAATATCTTTCTTTAAGAAGAGATCTATACTCGAGCATGTACGGGTTTTAAACACTACAATTAATATAATTTTGGTGAATTTTTACGGCCGATTTTTTGTCTTCCTCTCCTTATCTTCTGATTCGGTACCACGCAGTATGTTTTTTTTAACATTAATTTTAACAGTTGTTGTCAATTCATTGTTCATTCCCTAATTATATTCTTCCTTCATCGGGAGGTATAGGTACGTCTAATAACCCTCTTCCCCTTTCGGTCATTGCGTCTACATTCCAAAAAAAAACTTAAGTTCTTTAAATATAAAATCGCAGGAATAGTGCAAACCAGACTAGAAATAACTAAAATAATCTCATATCGGGTTCTTAGGTTTTCGCAATTGTTACACAGGAAATGAAACTGTTTTTCCGGATTTAACTCGCGAACCGACAGACCAACCGTCACCAGATAGACACAGAGTTAACCGTGACCATGGAACCTGTAAAGGGCCCGAAACGTCGTCGGTTTGTTTGAAAAAACAAATATACGCGATTTAAATCCGGAAAAACAGTTTCATTTCCTATAAAATAATCTCAGTACAGAGTACTAAAAAACCGACCTCAAAAGTACGTGGAATTACATCCATTTGCCAAGTTTTATTAAAATGTCCCCTAGTTCGCCACTATACAGGACTTGACACAGGAGATAATAAAAATCGGTTCTAACTACTCAAAATATATTGAGAGAAAAACGCCTTGAAGATGAGAATAGCAAAACCAACCATTAAAATAATTGCTCCTTAAGTAAATAAGCGTGATCAGCCACCCTTAGGGTCGTATTCTAGAACTCTACTCAACGCTCAAGTCAGGATTTGAGTATGGTTTATAGCACTCGAAATCATACTCAAGTCACTTCCATTAGGGTCGTATTTCCAGTACTTGAAATCATACTCAGATCCTGACTTGAGCAGGACCTATGGAGGTACCCTCTTTCCAACAAAAAAATCATGAAAATCGGTTTACAAATACCGGACTTATCGCGTAACATACATACAAAAAAAAATATACAGTCCAATTGAGAAGCTCCTCCTTTTTTGAAGTTGGTTAAAAAATAAACAAAACGACTTCTAAAAATATTAGTAGATGAAGCTAAAGGTCCCGAATGAAGCCACCCTAATAATCAGAACTTGTTTGGCATAACTATCTAAGTTCAATCAAAATCAGTTAAAATACTCACGAAAAATATCCTTTTTTTTTCTAATTTTTTTCTTCTAATCTTCTTTTTCTAATCTTTTTTTGAAAGCATATTTGTTATTTAATTTACTACTTACTACTACAATATTTATCGCACGTTGAAACCAATAACGTTATTAATCGAAAATCTCAACTTCCGGGAAATGGCCATTCAAGTTTCTGAAGTAGGTAAGTTTAGATTCGAAATACCTCCTCTAAAACGTCTTCAAAACCTTTGATTTATTCAAATCTGCCCCGATGGTTACTTTACAAAATAACAAACATTTTTAATGCGTAAAAACACTCAATGATTGCAAGTTAGCAATAAAACAATCCATACGACACGCAAAGTTCACCGTTCACCAAAATTCTTCCAGTATTATTCTTACAACTATTTTTGAGAATGTTTACTTTTCGACGCGGAAAATTTTTCCGAAAATATTTCTAAATAATTGGAAAAAAAGCATTGACTGAATGATTGAAAGACTCATATTATGTTCTACGTTTCAAACACCTTTTGAAGTTTTATTACGTGAATTACAAAAAATTAAATAGTATAGGTAGCTAAAAGCAAGTTAGAGAAAACGAGATTTAAAATATATGGACAAAAATGGAAATTTTCCATTTATATATATATTAATCCACATATATATATATATTAATCTAAATCTAAAAGGAAGAATATCTTTTTGGAAATTAAAAAAATGTATTTTGCAAATAAGTTTTTGACAAATGGATATTTTTTCATGACCCAACATTAGTCTAGTCTACGTGAAGCGTAATCGTCGTCTGACAGCTGTCATTTTGACAACAGAAAGCAGCCGGTCGATTGCGCGCGGACGCGGTAAAATAACCAAACGGCGAAATGAGATGGTTTTTCTGAAGAGTATATTATTTTATTGAATGCAAAAGAATACATTTGAGTTGTTCAAACATGGCTGAAGAAAATCATTACAGCGATATCAATATATCGGACGTCGTTGAAGATACGGAGCACTATATTGATTCGGAACAAGCCAACACAGAAATTATGGAATTTGATACCGAAACACACACAGAAATGGATTCAGAGGTAATAAATAGTGAGGAACAGAATGTTGGGGAGAAGAAACCTCACAACCAAACGCCCAAAAGTGAGACCGTAAAGAGTACACGCCTCCCAATAGCGAGGATACGAAACATCATGAAAATGGATCCTGACGTAAATATTGTACATCAGGACGCGGTGTTTTTAGTGACTAAAGCTACAGTAAGTTTGTCTTTTAATTAACACTTAAAAAGTTATGCTATAGTCAATTTATTTTGCAAATTTTCAATTTCTGTTTCAATTTAATATAACAGTCATTCGACTATAAGACTGTAGCTATTATTTGATGTAAAATTAAATCAATTTAAAGTTTTTACCATTAGAGCAATAGAGGCTCTAATTATAATTAGTACCTATTGAAGTAAAGTAAAAATCTACTAAGATCTTTTTTTGAGAAATATATGGGTTGGTTTTGTAACAATGGTAGTCATGTATCTAAAAAATGTCTATTCACTCTAGTTAGATCGTAGGTTCTCCTCACAGCGAAGTCTATCACCGAAATTCACTAGTCAAATTCTGAGTAATAAATTGTGTCTTCCTTAACCCTTCACGCATTCTAGACACATCCAGTGTCCCTAAAGCTTTGGATTATAACTTAAAATTTTTTTAAAGTAATGGATGAAAACATACAAGCTGGTTACAGATACTGTATGCCTTTAGGATGCTAGTATTTTTTCTTTTTAATCATATCAATAGTATACACTATAATTCTTGCCACAATGGCAAAACGTGAAAAAATGTGAAAGGTACGAGTTAAAGCAGAATCATCGATTGCATTGTTTGAGCTATAACATTTAGAAAAGAAGAAAACACCAGTCTTATATTTTATCATAAGTATCATGCATGACAGTTTTAATTTAATAGTAACTTGTGGATAATGATGTTGATTGTTCGCGTTCTATGTTAAAGAACTTCACAAAACTGTACAATTGTTTGTTATCCCTGAAAAATTAATATTAAGGTGATACAAATATAGATGTTTAATAATTTTTGATTGATTTTGCCTGTGCTATCTATCGCTTGCCTCAACAATGAGGTAAATACCACAGGTAAATCTGCACAATATTGGAGAATATTAAAAACTTTGAAGTTAGATAGATAGACTAATACTATGATGGTGAAAGGTACAGATTAAATACAGCAAAACATGTGATTTTTGTCATAGAACATTTAATAGGCACTTACTGGGTGTATGCCAAACTTAAGAACTGTTTTGTCCAGAACATGCTCACAAAAAGTTTGTCTCATTTTGAGTTAAGTAGGTATATTTTAGTTGTTTTTCCCAATATTCTAACGATAGTTGTATTGACATGTAGAAATTTAAATTTTATGTTTACCAATATAGCATAATTTTGAATTTTACATATTTTGAGTTACAACATTATTGTAATAGCAGTGTGATATAGTAAAATATTTACTTATTGAACCTTAGAGGTGATCCACACAAAGCAACATATTGTTTTACAGTTTGATACTGTTTAAATTTGAGGACACACTTTTCTTTCAGCAATATTTGTTTTTATTTCAGGAAATGTTCCTAGAAACAATGGCAAAGGAGATCTTCTCATATCTGCCCAAGAACAAAAAGACTATCAACAAGAAAGAACTGGATTTAGTTATTAATAAAGTAGATTGTTTGTGCTTTTTAGAGGGTGCTATGGACTTCTAAATAAAAGGTTTATTTAAATTATATTGAAAATGGTAGGAGTTATTGTCAATTTAGGCAACACCAGTTTTCCCTGAAACCCCATTTACACATCATGACTGTGTATGTTGGAATGCCACTATTTGTGCCAGTTGAAGATCGAATGATAAATGGAATGATGTTGTCCGAGATCTATTTCGTAGTTTCTGACTTTTAAATAATGCAATTAATTAACCTTTTTGAATGATTCATACAGAATTGTGTGTAAAAATAAAATATGCACAAAATATCTGTAAGAATAAATTTTATGAATAGGTTATTTTAAAAATAATACAAGATGCAAATTTAATCTATTTATTTGATTTCCTATAGTTTTTATTATACCAAGTTAATTTCCATTTAAATTCAATTTGTTAAGTAAGTTTCTATTTTCTCATTATTTAAAAGAGACATATAATTATATCTATATTTTAGCAGCAGTTAGAAACACTTTGCAGCGCAATGGCACAATGAGCAGACACTTGGATACTGTTCTTGTTGACAGTGGTACTGGAACAAAAAGAAGTTATATTTATCAAGTTATAATATGCGCACCAGCTACAACACTGATAATAACTAAAAATGGCAGGTAAAAATATAAAAAATATGATTTTTGACTTGTGATAATTTTCAAACGAACTTAAGTGCTACAAGTTAGATTTTGTTATTGTAGCACTAACAAATTTCATACTAGTGAATAATGTGTGGCCCATTGCACATACGGTCTATCTACTCCCTGATATTACCTTGTTTTGAAGGTAGTAACGCAACTTACCCAGTTTCCAACTTGCAATCAACTCCCGAAGCCGCAACGCGCAGCTGCGGCGGCAGCAATTTGAGGGATGACAGATCCACTGTCTCATCCTTGTCAGACAGGTTCACAATGCCAACTACACCTGGAGTTCCTGGGGCCAGCCTAAAAAATATGACATTAAATTTCGTAATCATGCCTTATATAGTCACATTTACAAGAACTTGTACGTTTTGCGAATTAAGTCTTGGTGCTGCTACAACTAATCATCTATAACATAATATAAAGCATGAGAAGTTAAAGACGAAGGCCTGTCTGAAAAACCTGCACCATACTGGGTAGAGCAGTGGGGATACGAGGACAAACATTTCTTGATACTGAACTTTCTTGATATGCCATTATTGTCATAGCTGTGAAAGTTCTGACGCAGCATATGCCAGTTTCCTGAGGCTGCTAACAGATTGCATGTTTGAGTTATGCGTAAAGTCGTAATCAACTTCTTGCAGCCGAGACGACGACTGCATGAAGTTGATAACGACTTCACGCATTAACTGCGTGTAGTCGATCTCGACTGCATGAAGTCGGTTTCGACTGCATGCAGTTAATGCGTGAAGTCATTATCTGAGACCTCGACTGCATGAAGTCGTTATCAACTTCATGCAGTTGTGGTCTCGGCAGCTTGAAGTTGATTACGACTTCACACATTAACTGCAAACATGCAGTCAATCTGTTCGTAGCCTGAGGCGCTGGTTTTCCGTCAGGACCAACGAGATGGATTAAGTTGTTTGTAAGCAAAAATATTTATATTTTCGATAACGACTATGCGTAAACTTATGTAAATAATGCTTTGAAAATAACCTATTAGATATGCAAGTGTATGAGCGAGTGTAAATATAAGTAAAGCTGTAGGAGTAAATTGTTATTGTATATAGATTTTAGTGTTGTATAATGTATTTAGTATATAATGTGAATAGATCAAAGTAAAAATAAAATTCCACTCTTGATAGATCATGGAAAATATTACAAACACAATACACAGATTTTTGAAGTGAAAGTAGGATTTTTTTTTATAATATCAAGTGACGGGACGAACAAGTCGTGCGCCTGCCTAATGGTAGGCTACACGCCTGTCCATAACAGTTGCAGTACCTTTCAGAACTTTAAATCGCAAAGATCTGTGGGGCACTGACATTGCGCCCGTCACCCAGAGACATAAGTTGATAAGTCCCATGCGCCTGTAATTTCACCAGCACCCTTACCTTTCAAAACTGGAACACAGTAATACTGACATTACTGCTTGGCGGCAGACTCGAGGCAGAGACGAACTCTTTCACAAGTAGCTCTACTGCTACTAAACTACAACAACGCTGAGGTATTGCCGGTACAGTTCTTTGAATTTGTGTTTGGATGTTTAAGCTTTAGTTATAAACAAAAGCGACACCCAAATTGTACATCGAACACGAACTAGGACAGACCCTCTTTATAGTTTTTGGATGTGTAATTAGTCTATGTTTAGCTCTTTGTTCTCTATGTCCTTTTCTTGTCTCTTTGCTTTCTTCTGCTGTTTTTTACTGTCTGTTTTTCCTCTGTAATAATACACCTTTTCATACCTAAACTGCCGTTTCCTTCGCTGTCCTCGATATTCTGGTCCTTTCGAGCCATTAATCCTGGTCCTGTTGGAGCCACTAATCTCAATTTCTATTTTTCAAAGTAAAAAAAATTAAATCTATATAATTAATATAGATCTCTTCCGGCATCCAATTCGTCGTCGGAGCGAGCGACTTTAGTGGCGCGGCAGAAGGCCGCCGAAGCCAAGTTAAAGCGCAAGGTCGCCGAGCTCGCACAGCAAGTTGCGAAGGCTGAAGAGGAAGTTCTTCTGCTGTTTTTTACTATCTGTTTTTCCTTTGTAATAATACACCTTTTCCTACCTAAACCGCTGTTTCCGTCGCTGTCCTCGATAAGGACAAATAAATATTATTAAAAATTTTAAAATGTATACCTGGTAAGGACAAGAATGGATTGAGAGAAAGTCCTCGTGTCAAGATCTCCTTCGCGGACGGCCTTTGTTTTCTTTAGAGCAGCCACATCTTTATAGAACTGTAAACAAAACATGCAAATTGATAAGTAATCAGTACAGAGCACTAAAAAAAGCGACCTCAAAACTACGTGGAATTACATATAATTACCAAGTTTTATTGAAATCGATTACCGGAAAGTGCGCAAACCCGGATTCATCCCCTAGTTCGCCACTATACGGGACTTGACACAGGAGATAATAAAAATCGGTTCCCAGTACTCAACGTATATTGAGAGAAAAACGCCTTGAATTAAAGAATAGCAAAATCAACCATTAAAATAATTGCTTATTATACTAAAATGTAGGTGCTATTTATAAAAATGAATCTTCATGCGTCAACAGCCACCCTTAGAGGTGGATGATTTTCTTCAAAATTAAATGGGACCACTATGGAGGTACCGTCTTTCCAACAAAAAAAAGACTCATGAAAATTGGTTCACAAATACTGGTTATCGCGTAATATACATACAAAAAAACACAGTCGAATTGAGAATCTCCTTTTTTTAAGTCGGTTAAAAAGATAGGCCTCTCAAAGAAGGAGGTTCCCAGAAATAGTTTAATAAGACAGTATTGTGGTGTGTAAGATTGTGTAATGATTGAGATAGTAATGGGAATGATGAAAATGGGTAATAGAATAACTATATAAATTTATAAAATTAATATGGAGGGAAGGCAGATTTTGGCATGTATATCTGAACCAGATAGACGATACCTTCAAAGACTGCAGGTAAAGAGTATAAAAATAGCCAGTTGAGTCCGATCGAGTATTTCCTAATTAGGCACCCTTAGACGTGGAATGTTTTCTTCAATTTAAATGGGACCTATACTGATGTACCCTCTTTCCAACAAAAATGAATCATCGAAATCCGTTCACAAATCGAGGCCTTACTTTCTCAAACTCGTATCTTATAAAGAGAGATTATTCAGGATATGGCAAAACTTTCTATTTATTTTATATTTCTTACTAAGAATAGGTAAAAGCTAGTATGTGAATACGAAGGAAATTTGATGTGAAATCAGCCTGCAAAATTTGTATATACAATCCATTTTTTGCATTTCAGTAACTTTGTGTATTAAGTTCATACTTTCTCAAACTCGTGTTTGAGTGAATAAAATTGGTACACACAGCGACTTCCGCAGCGATGCAAACGCACGTTCGTGAAACACGCGATTGCATAGCTATTTCTAGGCTATTGCATTGATGCAAACGCACGACTGTATCGATACAAACGCGCAATTGCATCGATGCAATCGCCTACAAATCCCAAGTGTAGCGATGCAGTCGCGCGCTTGCATCGCTGCTTCAAATCGTGTGCGCGCGTGTAGACGATTAGCGGCTGCATCGCGTTTGCATCACTGCTAGAAGTCGCCATGTGTAACCGCTCAAAGGCGACGAAATGTCGGAGTACACATAAATAAATACAGACGACTTGAGAGCAACCTTTTTTAAAGTCGGTTACAAATTTGTCCTTACTTTTAGCTTTATTAGGTACACGTCACTCTACCGTCTGCTAACTAAAACGTGGCCTAAGTGACAATATAGTTTTTCGAGATATAAAAAACAGTTTCGTTTCCTATAAAATAATTTCAGTACAGAGTACTAAAAAAACCGACCTCAAAAGTACGTGGAATTACGTCTATTTGCTAAGTTTCATTGAAATATCCCCTAGTTCGCCACTATACAGGACTTGATACTGGAGAAAATAAAAATAGGTTCTCACTACGACACTACTCAAAGTATATCGAGGGAAAAACGCCTTGATATCCAATTTAATTATCCTTAATAGCAAAATCAACTAAATAATTGCTAAAAGTAATTGCTCCTAAATTAAAGTTAGGCGCTATTTATAAAAATGAATCTTCATGCGTGAACAGCCACCCTTAAAGGTGGATGATTTCCTTCAAAATGAAATGGGACCACTATGGAAGTACCCTTTCCAACAAAAAAAGAATCATGAAAATCGGTTCACAAATACCGGAGTTATCGCGTAACATACATACAAAAAAAAAAGAACATACAGTCGATTTGAGAACCTCCTCCTTTTTTGATGTCGGTTAAAAACCATAACCCAGTTTTAGAATATTGAAATTGTTTAATGATATTTCAGCTATGCATCGTTGGGGTAAGTTCCAATAAGTTGAACACGGTTTTTGTTAGTGGACGGCAGCACTAATGTTACCTGATAATGAGACTTCTTAGAGTTCATCTGCGCAGCCACGTTCAAAGTCTTATAGTTGTCAGCGACAGGCAGCCACGTGGAATTTCCAGTTGAGAATCCAGCGTTCTTCGAATCGTCCCAGTGGAAGGGAGTTCGGTTCGGGTCACGAGATTTTTTCCAGTAATTGATTGGGTCGTTGGTGTTGCAAGCTTGAGGGTCTTTTGTGTCCTGCCAGCTCACATACCCGTCTGTCATGGCAATTTCTTCACCCTGGAGAAAGACGGTAAGTCAAAGAACAGACAGAAACATTATTGCAAGGAGTCCCTTGATGATGAAGAATGTTTCTAAACCAGTAAAAAGGTCAGTCACCCCCAGTTCATACTGCGTTTTTTTTCTATCTTATTTAATTTCAGTTTTATTGTTAAGACGTCGAGAGAATATTTTAGGAGGTGAGGTGTAGGGGACCGCGTCCCGCAACACGCGCAATGACAATTAATATGAATAAAATAAGAACAGGAGGAGAAAGTTGGACACAAATCCGTCGTCGACAGACGACTGAAGGGGTAGCGGGAGGCACGGCGTATCGTTAAACCGCTGTGCAATTTTAAAATTTTTATATAAATGTGAATTTAACAACTATAGGGCTTCAGTTGAAAACCAAAATTTAGCAGGTTCTCTGTAGAACTTAAAGAGAAATGTCTCCATATAAAACTTATGTGCAAAGAAGGTGCAAAAACAGATAGTTTGTTCGTTTTAGACGTTTATTTTAGCCTGTTCTCAGGATTTTATACATACGTTCGAGTAAAGTATAACACATCAAGCTACACATTGACGTAACTTGTTCCGTTGCACTGGAGGCGATTTTCGAACAAAAATGTGTAGTCTGATGTGTCCCGTTGTCCGTACAACATATCTTGTAACAAATTAGCACAATCTTCAGACAAATTCTTAGGTGTATTGTATATTTTTTGTGAGACCGTTATTTAGTAGTAAACACCTAAACCTTGTGATGTCCATGTAGGATTAACTATATACAGTATACATTCTTTATGGCACCAAATAAATATAACAGAAATATTAGTGTAACAGAAGGTGAGCGAGAGTGGATCTCTAAAAGATACAGTACAGTAAGATTCAGTCAGACTCTGAGAATAAGTGAAGAGGGAGGACGCGAAATGTACACAAACCTGATAGGTGCAGGTGACTCCTGGCAACAGCAGAGCGAGCATGTTCATGATATCGACCCGATCGGTGCCGAGGCGAGACGCGAGGCGGCTTTGGTCGTGGTTGCCGTTCTGCAAAAGTATCTTGGTTAACTAAAAATAACATTTGGAGTTTTTCATCCCATTAAACCATAGGTTCCCAAACTTTTTGGTTCAACGCCCACTTAGGCAGGATAAAAAAATTCAACGCAAGGACGGGGACCACAAACAATAATTGAAAACACGTAGTTTTGTATCTCAAAAATTCATTTCGCATGAGTCGAGCTGTAGGGGTCACTGGCTTTATTTCAGAATTTATTTTCTTACAAGCGAAATTAAAGCCAATTGAACAATATATATCGTATAGTATGCGTGTTATACTTAATTCAGTTGATAAAAAAAAATTGTATATGTAAAGTATTTATTGAACACAACTGTTTTCTTGTAAAATTTCGAGGTAAGTTTGTGTTTTTTTTTTCTATTGTGAAAATGTTTAGGAATCGTGTTTTCACACCGTATAGTAATCAGTGTATATCCTCAATTTGACTATATATTTTTTCCAGAGTGATTGATTCAACATTTTCACTGTTACGCGGGATCAACCAAAGCCATTTGAGGTAGTATAGACTCTTATAGCACATTTACCATATACTTAGTGGAGCGGAGGAGAATTGGATTTCAGTAACCAGTGGAAAGATCAAAATAACGCAAATTATTGGTTGATGAAACAGTTCGTCGCTCCTCATTGGTAGATGAACTTATCGAAATACTAACCACCCAGTTAGCTACTTTTCCGCTGGGCATAAACGTCATCCACTTGTCAATGACCAACTTAATCTCCCTCGCATTGGATTGGTTCTTGATGTCCCCGAGGAATACAAAGTTGAAGGGAATGGAGCCGTTTCTTTGGCCGTTGCCGTAGTACTTCATCATAAGGTCCAGGTCAGTGTAGGCTTCGGTTACCATGAATTTATATTCGCCCTGTAAAATAAAATACAATAAATATACATATACCGAACGTTTTTTTTTAAATGGGACAGTATGGGGAAATCCGAAACCATAGAAGATACAAGGAAACTGTCTTAGGAACAATTAAGTCTTTTATTATTTATTTTAATTTATTAAGGCTTTGGCAAAGCCATCAGCCTAAACATGAAGTTTAATTATGTTTCTGTAAATATGGCCGCCACAAAGAGGGTAGGCAATTTGAGGCGGCGTGCTTGGATTGACTCGGGATTCCTTAAAACGGGCCGATACGGGTATTTTAGTTCGAGATTCGTATAATTTCGCGTTTTAATCTTCGATTAAGTCACAATAGCACTATCCTATTCCACTTTAAACTAGATTTCACAAAATAATTGAAAGTCAAACTAAAAACGACACTTTTCCCTCCAAAAGGTCCTGAGCGAATCATTAAGTCTTTTTTATGAAAACAGTCAAGCGTGAGTTGTCCATAAAAGTGAATAAAATTGATTAAATTTTTTTTAGTGCTGATCGACTCAGTTTTATGTAAGGATCATTTCATTGTATGGTACGAAAAAATCGGGACAGCAGAAGTTGGTCAAATTTTATAAAATGTTGTTCATGAATACAAAATGAGTAAAATTGACTGTTTTTTTAATGCTGATACCATCTTCGTTTAACGATGATTTCATTGTATGGGACGAAAAAAATCGGAACAGCAGAAGTTGGTCAAACAACGACAAAATCATACTTAAAAGAATTTGTGCGAATTCTTCTTCGTACTTCGTACGAATGCGTCTTCAAATGTCTTAATTACAAGTTTCAATAAAATAAATTCATTAGGTTTTTCAAATTATAATAGTGGTCTATCGAAGTCTGGAAATAAAATCATATAAAAGAAACGATAATAACTAAAATAATGTGACCGGACTGATATTTTATAACTATCCAGTTTCTTAACGTTGAGTGACATCTAGCCGCCAAAAAAGGAATTTCAGTAGTTACTTATGGTCCACATTTAGTTCACGTAATATCAAATGTACTGATTCGTCCGATTTGTAATAAGCTCATAAAATATTAACTACTTCATTACAAAAAATTAAGTTGATAATTTTTTGTCCAAAATGTCACGCGAGAAAATGGTAAAACTGACCAAAAAGTTCCCAAAAATCAGAGATAGATGGCACGTTTCACAAAAAAATTATTTGTGTCCGAATTACCAGTGCAATAGTCTGTGGTATTATATGCATTGATTTTTTGTAAGTCAATGGTGGTATCTTAGAATAATAACGCATAGAATAACAGTTTCATATCAAACGAACTGTCACAAGTGCGGTAAAAATCAAATTCATATAGGCTAGTTTTAGTAGTAGGTTAATTTTCGGTTTTAGTGAATATTTATATAAAAATACAAGTTGAAACGCGTTACTTCCTTGTGGAATGTGATGTTAGTATCTATTTTATGTTTGTCTGACGTATTTTTACACTCATTTACCGCACATTTCGTCATTTTTAGCTAAAATTCTTGAGCTGTTCGCGGTGCAAGTTGACCTTGAGCATTGAAGGCCCGCCCGCTCGTGTAGGCCCTTTTGGCGCGTTTCAATTTGCCTCACTTAGCGTGTGCGGACTAGATTTCTATGCGTTATTATTCTAAGGGTGATATGTTATTAATTAACTCAGGTGCTTTTGTTACGGCTTATTCCATTCCAGTATACAAAATAATTCCCTCTGAACTTTCGTCACGTAATAAACCCGCGGTACCATTCAGCTTCTATTAACTCTGTTTAAGGCTTCTGTAATTTATTTTGACATAATAATACACCGAATATATTTTATTCAATTACGTAACACATAACCTCCAAAACTTCAAACTGGAATATCTTTAAATCCTGACTTCTCAGAATAGTAAATCCAAAACAAAATTTGTTCCGGAATTCCTACTCTATATTTTCATATATTTTTCATAAAGAGACGCATACAAATTATGTCAACAAAAATTTATATGGAAGTTTGCCTTTGTCCTTTAATTTAATTTGACATTCGTTTAATAAAAGCACTTTAACGATGATCTCATGTGGCGTTATAGGGGTTTTTATAATTGTAACAATCGGAATGGTTACCACGCTCCATGGTCACGAGTGAATTGCCAACTTGCAAAGTTGAAACCTGTTAACCAGTGATAATCATTTTACAGGTACCTGTTTCTCAATGTACTCATCGAGAATGTCTCTCCAGTCGTACACGACGTTGTAGGTCTCGTCCAGATCCTTGGTGTAGGGGTGTTTCAGATATTCGTAGTCTTGTGGGTCGGTGCCACCTATGTACGCAAACCGCATCATTTTCATTTTAATATCTTTTCTAAATACATAACGCACATACTCACAACGCCGTAATAGGGAAACCCTGTGTCGCGAGTGCCATGGACATACGTAGCAGTTGTAGCAGCAGTAGAGATCCTTATGAAAGAGTTCGTCCAGGGAAGTACCTACTGCCACCTTACCAACTTCTGCCGCCGAGCAGTAATGTGAGCATTACTGCGTTCCGGTTTGGAAGGGTAAGGGTGCTGGTGAAATTACAGGCACATGGGACTTGACAACTTATGCCTCAGGATGACGGGCGCAGTTGCAGTGCCCCTCAGATCTCTGCGATTTAAAGCTCTGAGTGGCACTGCAACTGTTATGGATAGGCATGTTGCTTACCACCAGGTGCACGACTTGGTATTATAAAAAAAAACATTGACAATCACAAATTACACTCAGACTCACGAGAGAAATAAATGTACTATATACAAACATTTCTCTCGGCCCGGGACGTCTGCGTGGCAGGCCTGTATGGTAACCGTTCGGTCACAGAGGTAGTTTAAATAATTATACAATATGGGAAGGAAAAGAGCCTGAAATGTATGATATGTAATTAAGCTTATCGAATGTCAAGATGTTTGACCACCAGGATGTTTTTTGCAGTAGTGCGCTATAATGATTAATACATAGATGAACACTTAGAAAAGCTCTTTCGATCCGCTTGGATTCAAATAGATGTAATTTCATGAACTTTTGAGGTCGGATTTTTTAAATAAAAAAGTTATAAAACATTATTAGCAAATAATTGCGCATTTGACTTCCATCTCACCTGGTGGAAAGCGACGATGTAGCATGCACATTTAAATAGTGCCTACTCACTCTCGCCTTGAAAAGTTCCATTTTATAACGTTCGAGCAACAAGTCTGCAGGCAGGAAATCAACGCCACACTCAAAAAGTGTATATTTTCCGAATAGATGAAAAACTAATTACTCAGTTCCCGTGAAATATTATTAAAATTTATGTACATACATAAATTCTGGACATAAATCCTAAACAAGTTCCTACTTTTCGTTGAAAAATAATAATTTCATATTTTTAAGTAAGGACTGTTTTGTCCAGAACTAGTCACAAAAAGTTTGTCTCATTTTGAAGGGAAACGCTTCGTGAAAATCTTTGAAATATCCACAACGGAATATCTCTGTGTATCAGGATCGTAATTCGAGGAAGGCTAGCTGTGCCGACCCGGATGAGAAAAGGACGTGATGAGTATAAAATGTATGTGCATCGATAGACATTCTCCTCCTGGCTTGGAGGAGACCCATCCTCAACAGTATGAACCTATAAGGGGTAACACAGTGCAAAAGATTGAAGACAAAGAAAGAAGAAAATTTTAGTGAACAGTACCTGAAAGCGGTTCATCGGGGTATTTGCCGCCGAAGTTCTTAGGATCCACCTCGTACATTACGTTGATGGCGTCCACGCGGAACCCAGACACGCCTTTGTCTAGCCAGAAACGAACTACATCCTGGAAAAGGGCAACAATATAGTCAGGGCTATCTGATGAGATTTTAAAGCAAGTTTCCTTGTACACGAAAATCGCTAGCCATGTAACTGTGGCAGCTGATCAATAAATCTGGGTCTCAGGGTCGTATTCCAGAACTCTACTCAATACTCAAGTCAGGACTTGAGTATTGCAGTGAGCACTGAAAATCATACTCAAGTCCTTGCCATTAGGGTCGTATTTCCAGTGCTTGAAATCATACTCAAGTCTGTTCAAATCCTGACTTGAGCATTGAGTACAATTCGGGAATACAATCCTCAGTCTGCTAATTTTAAATCATCTCATCAGTTGTGTGGCGATAGTGTTAATTGTAGAATTTTTGTACGTTTGCTATCCTGCTAAACGGTAAGCGTAATAGCTACCATTCAACTGCCGTTACAAGTTTTTGATGTTCTGCACTTCAAAGTGATGAAAGAGACTCAGTCTTTTAAGACCATTTAAAAAACCTCGACTAAATTTCAACGCCTCACGACTAGTCTAGTCTTTTAACACTCAAGTCAACCGTCAACCGTGACCATGGGACCTGTAAAGGGCCCGAAACGTTGGTTTGTTTGAAAAAACAAATATACGCGATTTAAATCCCCAAAAAATAGTTTCATTTCCTATGTGTAACAATCGCGAAAACCTAAGAACTCGATACTCAAGTCTTGAGTCATAAGACTAAACCTGAAGACTAATTCGAGTCGAAGTCTTTTAACCTTAGGAAGCTTAAAAGACTTGGAGCCTCATAACCTCGGGAGTCGCGAGTCATTAGGTATTTATTTTACGATTTTTATTATAAGTAAATAAACGTGATTATTTACGACATACTTACGTCATTTTTATTTATAAACTTCGGGTTTAATAAGACATAAAATAGGTATAAGTCCTTTGCAAACAACTCGAGTTGTTTAAGTCTTTCAAGTCGTTTAAGTCTTTTGAGCCATTTAGTATAACGATTGAGTCTTATTAATAACAACTCGAAACCCCAGTCTTCATTTTAGAGTCGTATCCTGTAAAATGGAGTCGAGTCGTAACAAAACGCCATATAAGACAAAGTCGTTTAATGCCATTCGATCCGGTCTCTGGTAAGGATCAATAGTCTCTATGGTACCAACTGAGGTAAGAGTACTCGAAATGTCAGAAATCGCAAAAAACCGCCATTGTAACTAGATTTTAACAGAATAACAACTACGTTTTTATTGCATGTCAGAATGTTTCACCACCATAATATTCAATTATTTTTTGTGAAATTACTCTACTAGTTTGATAAAATAATAACAACTAACAACAATACATTATATAACATACAATAGCACGGAACGAACCAGCGGACCTCACGAATTTTTCTATGTGCTTGTTGTCGGATCTTTGTATCTGGTTTTCAACGACACTTAGTTGGCACGGCGTCTGGCACGGTTTGCTAGAAGACGTTGGTTTGAATCCAGCCGGATCAGAGTTTTTTATAATCTTTGTTTTAAAAATTAGAGTAACAACTATTAACATAATTGCAATATTATGATCTCAGTGGAGTCGCAATGCAATAACCTATGGTTCCAAGAAAATTAGCAGACTTGGGGAGTAGAAGCCGTAACTAATATTAACTTTGCTTTCATTTAGTGTTAAGGTACCTTCATTTCCTTTTGCACTTTAGGCTCGCGGTAGTTGAGGTCGGGTTGGCCAATAAGGAATTGGTGAAGGTAGTACTGTCCACGTGTGGGGCTGTATTCCCACGCGCTGTTGCGGAAGATACTAATCTGTGTGGAGATGGAGACTAGTGATATAAAATAATTAAACAATAAAAGATATACACACAAACAAAATTACTTTGGAAAAAGTTAAAGGCAAGCAAGGCATTTTTATTTCTGTTTATTTGAGGTTATGGGCCCAACGTACATGTTTATAAAATTATTTAGAGCGGAATATTTAAATAACATTTAAAATGTATCATGACAATTCAGTAGTATGCAGTTTCCGTTCCACGTGAAATTGAACTTTTAGTTGTCAAATTTGCCAAATTTTATTGAAATTTGGGAGTCTACTCTCGATCTCCGTCCGACATCCGTCCGAAACAATTACTGCCAAATAAGCAATACTATATACTAAATATAAACTATATACTATATATATAATTTTGTCGAATATTACTTATTTGACAGTAATTGTTTCGGACGGATGTCGGTCGGAGATCGAGAGTAGCTCCCCAGTTACCGGAAATTGCGCGAAACTGAATTCATTCCCTAGTTTCTCACCCTTAGCGGTGGAATAGTTTCTTCAAATTTAAATGAGACCACTGAGGTACCCTCTTTCCAACAAAAAAAAAGAATCGTCAAAAACGGTTCACAAATCCCGGAGTTATCACGGAACATACACACAAAAAATATATACAACCGAATTGAGAACCTACTCCTTTTTTAAAGTCGGTTAGAAACAGTTTCATTTCCACTATAAAGTATTATTTTAATCCAAACCCTTGTACGCAATTTACGAAACGTATCCCAAGCGCAAAGCAGGTTGATGCAGCGCTTTATTTATTATTCGCCTAAGAAGACTTAAAAAATGAAAAAAAATACCCAGTTGCTAGGAGGTCCAATTAGACCGTCAGCACCTCTGACGCCATCGGCCCACACGTAGTAGTTCTCGTACTGCGGATCGCGCTTAGTCGACTTCACGAACCACTCGCTTTCGTTGCTCGTGTGGTTTGGCACGTAGTCCTGGATAACGCGAACTCCTAAATACCGTATTCTAGAGTGTTATGTTGTAGCTTTACAACGATCGCCAACCCGCTTCACAGTCGTGGTGATTATGGTCTTTTTTGGAGTTTAGATACAACGTACCTACTATAATAGCTTATCATGGTGCGGATACCACGTGACTAGATTTTTCCCTTTATTTGCGAAGAGTAATTCAAATACATTATGTTAGAACATAATTGTGAATACAATCAGATAGTAATCATAGCCGGAAAACGTTTAATTTTACCGCTTCGTAGCCATTACCAACACCTATTGCAGGATTATTAAAATTCTGTCATTTTGTTTTTTTAAGTAGTATAATGACAATACGCACCATGGCGATTCAAAAAATTATTACATAGTCAGCCTTTTATACAGGGTGATTTGTAAAATACTAACAACCTCACAGGACTATATTAATAATATCTTAAACAACATTCGTTCCGTAGTTTTTTACAAAACATTCTAAATTTATCAAAAATAAACTTTTGTTTTTGTTGCACTATCTGACACTTTTTAGATTTGTTTGAGGATAAGTTATTCAGCAACGCCTCCCGATATGTCATTCGTAAAAACAGTGTTGGTGGTAGGTGCTTTCTTTTGGTACCGCAAAGAGTTATCACTATTTAGAGCGATCTATTTCAATATTTAAATTTTTGTACCAAAATAAAATTAGATGAATGTTAAAAGTGATGGAAACAAAGTTGTTATTTATGATGTTAATACTGCCGCCGTTAGTTGAAAGTTCCAAATGCGCAAGTCATAAAAACTCAAAACCAAAAAAATTAATGTTTAAAGAAATGAAATTTAATAATTTAATAATTTTTCTTGCGGTAACTGCATATCTTATCCACATAGGAAAAAAATAAAAATAGTGACAAATCGGCCATTTATTTTATCACGGCAGTAAACACACGCGACAAAATTTTTGAAAAAATATCACATGGGCCCTTTTAACTAACGGCAACAGAATAATGCACTCCTGTGTGGTTGTTAGTATATTACACATAAACCTGCATAACTCTCAGTGCTGGGCAAAACCTTCTCTCACAATAAGAGGGCTTGGGCTGTAGTTCCCACACGGGCCGATTGCGGATGGGGAATCACACACCATTAAAAATGTATTGCATATGTGTGTAAGTTTTCCTCCAGATGTTTTCATTCGCCGAAAAGCTCATCATTCGGCTGGGTGCTATGTCAACGACATTAGGTGAAGTATTTCGGACTTTAAATTCGTCTGAATAAGGAACGGTGCTGACTAATTGTAAATTTCTTGCATATTATCTGCAATATATCTAGTAGTAATCCTGCAAACAGACTACTTTTTTGGGGTGATCGAGATTTTGAAGCTTTGATTCCACAAGAGAGATATTTTTTCGAAATAACAACCTAGACGACCGCAGTGGGCAAACGGTTTGTACTATAGACGCTGGACGAGAAAGTCCCGGGGCTCAGAATTCCCGGTAGGTGGTCCTAGTTTTTTTGGGGATTAACTTTTCTAAACTGGTTCTGGGCTGAGTGTTCCGGGTAGTGTCCCTTCGTTGTAGAGTAAATTCCGTTGCTCCGGTACTTATAGTACGAATTTACTAATTTGAGATCAGATCACCGAATTCACGTATATTTAGGTATTCTACAAATTACCTTATATATGTCATAACCAATATGGTCGGAAAAAGGTGTTCCACATATATAGACACTTGTATCAATATAGCCACAAGGAGCGACATGGAGTTGTTAAAACCACCAAATATTAATTAATTACATTTTCGAATTCCGGATTTCCGGAAATAGGTTTACTGCATCGTAAGACAAAACTATGGACCTAGGAAGTCGAAGTTGGATTTTAAAGTTATTCTAATGGTGCCATGTAAAAAAATGCAGTAGATCACTGACTTTTTAATAAAGCAGACACTAAAAATTGTAACGAGAATGATCACTCTCCGCCCCACCCTAGCTTTAGATACCGCACTGCGTCCCGCATATTAACGGTCACATTGACGGAACGGCAACAAGGCTGTCAGTTATCTACTGCATTTTTTTTACATGGCACCATTAGAATTACTTTAAAATCCAACTTCGGTACCTTTTTCCGACTTGGTGGTGGTCATAACAAGTAACATAGAAGCAATAGCGCTCCTTGTGAAAGAGTTCGTCCAGGGAAGTACTGTCCTTGCCATTTCTGCCACCAAGCAGTAATGTTAGTATTATTGCGTTCCGGTTTTGAAGTGTAAGGGTGCTGGTGAAATTACAGGCACATGTGACTTGTCAACTTATGTTACGGTGCATACTCAGAGTGATGGGCGGAGTGGTAATGCCCCTCAGATCTTTGCGATTTAAAACTCTGAGTGGCACTGCAACTGTTATGGATGAGCGTGTAGCTTACCATCAGGCGCACGACTTGTTCGTCCCGTCATTTGATATTATAAAAAAATATGCAACATTCATATTTTCGTTATATTACACTTCAAACCAAGAAAAATCCGGTTACATTTTTAAATGAGTTTCCGAACCGTAAAAAACAAAAATAGTAAAAAGATTCATTAAAATTGCGATTCGTTATAATAATTAGCATTAGCATATCAATGGCTAAATATGAATTTCTTATTTATAAGGCTCGAAAGCTCACTTACCAATTTTCTTTGCCTCAGCCAAAAGCGCCTCAAAGTCAGCCATGGTGCCGTACTCGGGTGCAATCTGACGATAGTCCGTAATGTCGTAGCCGAAGTCGTACATAGGAGAGAGGAAGATCGGAGACATCCATATCGCGTCTACGCCTAGGTCTTTCAGGTAGGGCAACTTGGATTTTATGCCTGATGAAGTCGAGATTAGGCATCATTAAAATAATAGCTTGAATCACTTTGGGATAAGGTTTATAGATTAGCTTATTAGTCCCATAACTTTTCAGTATTTGAGGAAGTTAGTTAAACTTTTAGAAAACAAGACACCGCAACTGTGTACAAGCTGATGTGTGTCAAATATAACTTACCATTAAGATCGCCGATGCCATCGCCGTCGCTGTCCTTGAACGACCTTGGGTAGATCTGATAGATGAGCGCTGTTTTCCACCAGTCTAGGCCGTCTCCAGCCACAAGAGTCGCCGTGGCTAGCAATGCCACGAACGATACCAAACGCATTTTGTGTTGGGCCTTTGAGAATATCATACAATAAGATGTATTATTAATAAATGTGTTTAGCGGCATGGTCTACAGAGCAGAAATTTGGACCTTCACATTACAATGCATCCAAAAATCACGTTGGAGATTCTGAGCGTCAAAATAAAAAATAAAAACACAACAAATCCGAGGTCACACTAGGCTAACTAATATTATAATGTGAGGCATATCATTGCGCAACGAAATATATAATAATACAATAAAATTCTGTCTGAATCATTGTAAAAGTAATTAAACTCGAATTCTATTTTATTCCCATTCCATGGCGGCAATAAACAAATAATAATTGGGATTTTTTTAATTCCATTTGTTACCACTGGCAACTACTGGGATATTTTAAATCCCATTTGTCGCTAGTGGTAACAACAGACCTTTATATCACATTTGTCACCACCTGGTAACATAAGGGTTTTTCCCCCATTTGTCGCCAGTGGAAATCACCACTGGCAACAACCGATATTTTTTTTTCTCGTTTGTCACTATCTGGTAACATAATTATGGGTTTTTTTCCATATGTCGCCAGTAGGCACAAAACCAGTGGTGACGACTGAGACCAAGCGAGCCGAAGAGAACTAGAGAGGAGACCGAGGACCAGTACCAGAACCGTCAGACTGCAGAAGGCTAGATTGCTGGACGATATAGTCATAGTAACCAGAAAAGCCTGGATGCAAATAGCCCAAGAGCGGAATGAGGTCTATAATCAGCAGTCGGTGTTAAAAGCTGAAGAGAAAATTAAATGTATACTTAAGAATCTATACAACTTCAAATGGCTTTGGTTTTTTTTTTTTTTTTTTTATTGTGACTCGGCAAAATGACTGCACCGCGCCTGATGGAAAGTGCGAATACAGTCCAAAGATGAGAGTAACGGATGGAAAACACAAATATCTTCACTCCGTCACTATCATTTTGCCGGTCTGGCCAAATGCTTCTTCACACTACGTTTGAAGGACCCGATGTTATAGAGGGGAGGGAATACATGCGCCGGGAGTTGGTTCCACAATTTGATGGTTCGGCATAAAAACGAATTGCCAAACTTTTTAGTGCGGGACGGTATTGAACTGACCGTCCAACTGTGGCAACGCAGTCCGGCACGGGTGGTCCGCTGATGGAAAGGAGAGGAAGGGATAAGGTTGAATAACTCTTCAGAGCACTCACCGTGGTACAGGCGATAGAATACGCTAAGAGACGCTATATCTCTGCGAAGCTGTAACGACTCCGCATGCTCAGTTACATGAGGATCGTTGACAACACGGAAGGCGTAGCGCTGCAGTCCATCTAGGGCATCGAGCAAGTACTTGGCAGAGCCGTCCCAAAGGTGCGAACAGTACTCCATGCTGCTTTGGACCTGAGCTTTATACAACAGGTATCGCAGCTCTGGAGTAAAAAATCGGTGCACCTTGTTCAGGATGCCAAGCTTGCGCGACGCGGTACAGATGACGCTCTCTATATACTCTTTATTGCTCATGTCCTTGGTTGATCCCGCGTAACAGTGAAAGCGTTGAATCAATCGCTTTGGAAAAAACATATAGTAAAATTGAGGATACACACTGACTAGTACACGGTGTGAAAACACGATTCTTAAAAATGTTCACGATAGAAAAAAACACAAACTTACCTCGAAATTTTACAAGAAAACCGCTGTATTCAATTATATTTATATATATATGCCAATATTTTTTTTTTCATATCAACTGAACTAAATAGAACAACTATAGTATGCGATATACATTTTTCAATGAGCTTTAATGTCGTTTGTAAAAAAATTAATTATGAAATAAAGCCAGTTTCCCTGCCACTTGACCCAAGCAAAATGAACCGTATTAGAACGGGAAAGATTTAAATTCGAGCTGAGGTAGTATTTAAGACGTAACACACAACCTTAAAATAACTGTACATACCAATGTAGTACTAAAAATACGAAATCATTAGGTATCTTGGGTATCTTTGTAAGTTTTTTTTAAATTCCAGCGGGAAGTTTTTTTTAAATTCCAGCGGGAATGTGGTCAGGTACTTCCTTCCAATATAAGATTTGTCCGGTGCAATATTAACTGCCGACTGTACGATGTCGCATACGGGTCTCTCCAGGATGTAAGGCATGAATACAAATGGACGCAAATTGATTTGCTACTCTGGACACCCAGTGAAGGTTAAAGATTATGCAAAATAGCTGCGTCATTGTTGAATACTCCCCCCTTATTGTTACTCTATGTAAATTTATCCACTTAAATAACATATATTTATAAATGTTGTTTTGTTGTTTTGTTTTACATTCTCAACTGAGTACTCCCGTGGTCCAACTTACCAACACCGGTTAATGTCCTATTAGAGCTTAGCGAATTTTTTTTTTGTTTCGTTTTTTTTTTCTTTCAACCGTGACATTGGCAAAATCATCATTTCTCATAATGATGGAGCCATAAAAATAAAAAGTGAAGTGAATACTTTTTTATACAGTTAATTTTCTTTTTTTAATTTTACATTTTCCCTCCGTATAAAATTAATAACATAAATACTAACACAAAGGAAACGAAACTAGTTTTTTTTCTAAATCACATATATTTCAAAGCCGTGACCATGGAGCCTGTAAATGGCCTGAAACTTTAATGTGTTTATATTAATAACCCATTTGTCATACGAAAAAAGAAAAAAAGTTGTTTCATTTCCTATGTGTAACAATCGCGAAAACCTGAAAACTCCATAAATAACACAAAATTTAAAAAAATAAAATAAATAAGAAATCAAATCCAGGGTCTTGGGGTCCGCGGAACCCAGTTTAGGTAACATTCACCTAGTAGTGTTGAATAATATAAAAATACCTGATTAATAGATTCAGGCGTTACTTTGGGGAAATCCATATTAATAAAAATTGAAGTGAATTAATTTGCTTGCAGTGAAGATTAAATCGAGCAAAATAGCTGAGCTTGTCGATTTTTTTGTTTCCGTTAACTGTATTAAAAAAAATTCAACACAAGGACAGCTACTTTGCACCATTTAACTTTCAGTTCGCGGTAAAATTACCACACTTTTATTAACTGGGATTTCCGCAAAGTATCACCCGAACCTGTATAAATAATAATAATACATTTATTTCAGATTTGCAAGCATATAATGCTAATATAAGAATTGTCATAAAATAAATTACATAATTCGACTCTAGAAAGGTAAAACGTCTAACGTCCAACTAGTTGATGTATGGAAAAGCTGAAACTTTTGTAGTTTTTCTTTTTAGTTTTCTATATTTCCAAATGCACGTTAGACGTTATACCTTTCCACAGGCGAATATGAGGAATGTGGGAGAACCGACAAATTTTTCCTCAATTCTCATACTTAGCATGCCTTACGTGAGACCTTGTGCACTAGCTGAATATTGGGCTGTCATTTGTTCACTTACTTAATACGAGTATAGAGTACTTCAACATATTTGCAAAGTTTACTTTTTATGTACCATTTCTTACACGCTGTTTTACTTTACCTAACAAAAATAATACAAAAAAAAGAATTAAAAGCACCTACCTTGTCCGAGTTGTAGGATAAAGTGTCGCCAAACACAGAATACAGACTTTATTAGCCCGCCAGAAGTAATTCTGTGAAGTACCGATAACACACGTCTCTACAAGCACTTATTGTAATTAAATTCATATTTTATCAAGTGTTGACGCGTTATTCACTTGTTTACTGTTTGTTTTAAGTGATACAGTAGTATGATCGTATCCAAGTGATGTAACCGAGTTCATATCCATTACATGCCCACTAAAAAAATAGCGGGTACTAAATTACAATTTACTTATAGTATTTCGAAGTTTATAAATCGAAAAATACACTAATAACGCAATCACTTCGCACAATACAACCAGTTTTTAATTATAATGACCTTATTTCATAACATAAACCTCAAATAAAAAATTCAAAACATTCCAAATTCCAAAACATAAAAGGTTTGATGACCTTTCTCTTTCGCACAGTCGACAAAATTGAACTTCTGGAGGGCTAGTCGCGTCCTATCGTGCTATAGGACGCGACTAGCGCGAGAGCGACATAAAGCGCGAGATATTCTCGCATAGAGATCTCGTGCTTTATGTCGCGCCTTATCGTGCTAGCTCTACAGTCCATGTTTCCTGTACGTATGTTCCCTCCCTCTTATGACATGAGGGATCTTTCAGAAGTGAAAAGGGTGTGGCTTGAGAGTTGATTATAGCTTAGTTGACATAGCGTCTGGCACGGTTTGCTAGAAGACGTCGGTTCGAATCCGGCCGGATCGAAAGTATTTTTTGTAAGTTTTCGATCTTTGTATTAATAATTATAACAAACTAGTGGAGTAATTTTACAAAAAATAATTGAATATAAATTCAATAAAAAATTTAATTTATTACGTTACTCACATTTTTCGTTCACTTATTATGCTCTAAACTGCAATCATATTTAGAAAACCGCTAAAAAAATGTTAAATTATGATAACAATGCATAATGATGACGGTCGCATAGACCTTTTCTGTAATAGCGTTATAAATGTAAAAGCTATTATGATTGATAACTTCTTATCAAATGACTTATAAGGTGATTGTTGTGTTTTCATAATTAGATGTATCATTGTAATTTTAAGCTTGTGTTATTGTAAGATTATTTTCTTAAGTTCAAATGTGGAAGCTTTTAATTGGCATCTGTTTGATCATACTTAAATCTATATTGTAAAAGTAGCTGTAAGCTCCCCAAATATAATAAAATAAAATAAAAATTGTTACCATAACTCAACACCCAGAGGTTCATATGAATATGAACTACTGGTCACAAATACCAGAACGTTTAATTTGAAAAAAGATTGACTTTAACTTAATTGTAGCGATTTCGATTAAAATGTTTTAGTACATGTGGCCAGTAGTTCATAACAATATGAACATTATCATAATTAAACAATTTTTTGGCGCGTCTCAAAATATTTATGTCCATGAGTAGGTATAGGCATTACTTAGTGAATTTTTTATAAGCAGCTACGTTTTAAC